ATATAGTGGGTGCGTTATTGTGACAAAACTTGATTTTTATTGTTTTATTTTTCTAATCGAGTCCTTGAAATTTAGTAAACTTTTAATTCTTAACCCCGTAGTTTCTTCTCTTTGACAGAATAGTCCATTGCCTTTACGTTACAAAACCCGGCCCATCGTAMGGCCCACTAAAAGACGCTCCTTATGCAGCAAACGTGTGATCGAAAACGTCTCCGTACCAAATTTTTGACAATGCGACCCTTTTTTTTGACAATGAGACCTAAAATCCTGATCGTGACGGTTTGCAATTAGACCGAAGAACATACAAAAACTGAAAATTCTTTGTCAGAAGATTCGACTAGGGTTGCTTACATTTAGGCACACTTCATGTGTAAAGTCTTACACATAGAGACACTTCTTACTACTCACACACTTATTTGATTTGCAATGACCATCATGCCCTCTCAAACTTATCTGAACCTTTTTGCTGTCCGAATTACCAAATCATTTTTTTCCTGTTTCATCTTTTACTTTCATTTTTAATCATCAACATTTTTTTATAAACCCTAGCCGTCGCCAGAGATTACTATTTTCCGACGCAAAAATTTTATTTTCAGGCATCAATGGGAGATAAAGAGTTGTCTTCCTATTTTTTTTATGGCTTTGGATGTTGATTTTATATAGCTACAGTGTTATATAGATATGCAAGTGTTTCGATGGGTTTGAATGTAAGTCACAAATTCTAGATTTTGCTTTAGAGATTTGCTGGTCTTTATGATTTCCTTGCACTGGTTTCGATTTATTGTGGATACCATATCTGAAGACGTTAGTCAAAGAATCATGTCCACAAATGAAGCCGATGGTGGTCAGGAATCTATTAGCAATGTGGTAGCCGACCAAGTAAGCCTATGATTCTGAAATAATATTATTGACCACAGACTGGCGTCCACGTAGACGTTGTAAGTATAGCTTTGCAGTTGAAACTTGAACACAGCCGTAAACCTGCAAACTTTACTCAACAATGGTGTACACGAGAACCTTATCTTCTTACAACTAGTGCCTACCAAATCTTAGATCCAACCACAAGATCCGTTTCTTCTCTGTAAAAATAATGAAAAAGACGAAGCTTTACACTGAAAATTGATCTTTTTCTCAAATAATTTACAGAGATGTGTTTACACTTCTTTTATAGACCATTGAAAGAACAATCTAGAAAATAGAACTATCTAGAGCTATCCAGAAACGCATCCTTATCTTCAATGAGCTAGCTGGCATTTGACTCACAGGATAAGGATTGAAGAAGTTCAAACCGATTTCCATGAAGCCGCTCCTCCTGCTCCGTACTGCAATCGCTCTGCTTCACTTTTTTTGTCTTACTCTGTTTAGTGGGCTTCTTTGGTGTTGGGTTTGAGTTAGTTTGGGCCACGCTTCTTTCTTCGAGGCCCAATTGCGTATTCTCCACATTCTCCATTTCAATAAACGATTTTTGGTGTCATAG